CATGACCTGAGTTGGAGTTGGCCACTTAACCTACTGAGCCACCCAGGCGCCCCCATCCCAGAACTATTTTTAAGTTTACCCTATCAGATTGTGCTCAGCATGTATCTAGAAAGTTGTCCTTTTTAGTAGTATGTCTTAATTTTTTTGTGTGACCTGCTTTGTCTCCCAGTTTTCTGCTGTTAAAGTTTGGCCCCTCCTAAGCTGTGACTGTCTGAGGACAGCTCCAGCAGTGTGCTTGTGTGGCCTCATCCTCACAGGACATGCCCCAAAGTGGTCTCCTTTTGCAATGAACACATTAACATTTTGAATATATTAATAGATTTTAAAAACTTATATAAAAATGAAAAGAAACTATTCAGTTTTTTATTTATACTTCGTGCTTATGTTTAATGACTAGAGACACCATATGATATATACCTATTTTATATATTTATTTAATTTTGCTTTTTTTTTTCATTTATTCCATTTAGTATTCCATATACCTGCCTGTTATTAACCAGAAATCTGAATCCTTATCTTGAGAATTCGTTTATTTTTATTTTTATTTATTTTTTAAAAATTTACATCCAAGTTGGCATATAGTGCAATAATGATTTCAGGAGTAGAATCCAGTGATTCATCCCCTTTATATAACATCCAGTGCTTATCCCAGCAAGTGTCCTTCTTAATGCCTCTTGCCTATTTAGCCCATCTCCCCACCCAAAACCCCTCCAGCAAGCTGCACTTTGTTCTCTGTATTTAAGAGTTTCTTATGTCTTGTCCCCCTCCTTGTTTTTATATTATTTTGCTTCCCTTCCCTTACGTTCATCTGTTTTGTATCTTAAATTCCTCATATGAGTGAAGTTCTATATTTGTCTTTCTCTAATTTCACTTAGCATAATACTCTCTAGTTCCATCCACATAGTTGTAAATGGCAAGATTTCATTCTTTTTGGATATGTTCCTGTTTTAAACAGGTAACCCAGCACAACTGAGAATGGAAGCATTTCCTGATTCTTTTTCACATGGGTTTCCCCTAAGCCTGTTTTTGTTTCAGATCCTCAATTAGAGGGTGTAAATGAAATACTAAGTTTATGTCCAAGTAACTCGTGTCAGTTCTACGTGGAGTTCAAGCCTAACCATTACTGCCCCATTTTCTGTAAAAGGTCAATCATAGGTTTTAGTACAGAATAATAGTGATAGGTTTGGGCCAGCCTGAGTGTTAAATTTTAGGAGAGGTAAATCAAGTTTATCTTTTGTTTTCTTAGCTATTGCTGTATATTTTAGACATAAACAGCATGATCAGAAACTTATGTGAGTCTATAATTAAGAGATTCCTTTATGGAATTAAAGACAAGAAATAGAAATTAATCTACAAATGTTTTCATTAAAGAAGTAAATACTGAGACTAGCACTAACCAAAAATCTCACAAATAGTTTGTCAATCTCATATTGTTTTATTACATAATTCAAAATTTAAGATCAGAAGCATATTCACATTCAGTACAGAGAATGAAATTTGTTTCAATACTATTACGTGAAATGTGATTATAAGATAATGAGACTACCTGCATTTTTTTTTTAATGTTTATTTTGGGGGGGGGAGG